TATCGTATTGTGTAACATTTGGTGCATAAAAATATCAAGGCAAAAAAAAGCCATGATCATAAGAGTTTGCACGATAAATATTTATATCTATTTATCTGTAATATTAATTTTACAAATTTATTGAAATTTAATTTTAATAATTTCTAAAAGAAAGATTTGTGATACCAATTTATCAACATAGTCCAAGTTGTTAGATAGTAGTATAATTAACTAGCTGGAGTTAGTTTTTCCTTTCAGTCCAATTAGGTATCAATTGGCTAATATATATAAACGTCCAAACTTTGAAAATAATCTTTGATATTGGGTAAATAAATCAAATATTAATGGGTGATATTTGGAAAACTTTTAAAAATGAACTATTTAATAAAGATTTGACACTATTTTTTTGTAGCAAAAAAGCAGACTCATATTTGGGCCTTGTATTGAATCTTGACTGGTTTCAACCGTTTGATAGTACATTATATAGTACTGGTATGATGTATATATTTATTGCAAATTTGCTGTGATATTCGATTTAAGTGTGAAAATATGTTAATTTTAAGTATATTACCTGGGCCAGATAAAGTGAGTTTGTATAAAATTAACTATTATCTCTCTCTGATTGTTGAATTAGAGTCTCTTTGGCATAGTATAGAATTAGATTTAACTGCCGAAAGTTCTAAAAGAAAAGTTATCCATACAGTATTAATATTAGTTTTATGTGACATTCCAGCTGCCTAAAAGTTGTATAGGTATATTTCAGCATTAGTGTTATGTCATCATTGTGAAAAAAATGCTAATTATATAGGTAAACAATTTAACTTTGGTGGCATGCAAAATATGAATAAGTGGTTTGTACAGAAAGATTTGGCAGTATATTGGCAAAGTGCACTTGAGTGGAGACATTGTAATTCTGATGCAAAAAGAAAGCATTTTGTTAAAAAATATAAAGTTCAATGGTCTGAATTACTTCGTCTAAATAATTAATCCAATTCATTATGTAATTGTTAACCTAATGCATTGCATTTTTTTTGGATATTTCTAAGTGGCTTGCTAAATGAATATAGAGTAATGAAGGTGTAACATTAAATATGCTTACGAGAGTATAGTATATGATGAATAAGTTCCAAGTACTATCAGATATCATCAGGAAATTATATATATAGATATAAATCAATTAGTAACTACATGAATATATATTGATTGTAATCACCTCTACTGGGTTTCATCAATTGTGATTATAATCAATATATAGCCGGTTTTATATCTGTCGATTTTTATTGATTTTGATCTAAATCGATACATACCTAATATGAAATAATCGTTTATTGACAATTAAGTTAAAATATCGATTAAAATCATTGTAGTTTAAAGACCCATATATTATATTATATATTAATTTGAAGCAATATTTTGAATTTGTAAAACTATTTTATTTTTATACATTATTATCGTTACATGACAACAATATAAACGTAAAAAAAAAAAAGAATGTCAATAGCATCATGAGGCAATTATGCCAAAAAGAGAAAAAAAAAAGCTAAAGCTAAAAAAAAAAAAAAAAAAAAAATTCACCACTACAACTAAATAACTCCAAACAATTCATCTAGATCATCTAGATCTAGAAAAGTTTGCATTGAAGAGCCTAGTCTTGAAATTGGTTCAGGTTCTTCATTTTCTAAATAGAGCGAGGTTGGTCGAGACCTTTCGCCTTCATTGATCCCAAGTTCATTTTCTAGTAATTCTCAAGTGGATTTATAGGAGGGTCCTCCATTACTTAAATCATCCTACAATGCAAAGTTCATTAATTTTGTGTCAATATAACATGAAAAATTGTAATACTTACCAAATATCATGCTATTCAGCGCTTCATAAGTTTCTCTGTGCATTTTATATTTTTTGACTCAAGGTTTAATAGTATATCGCATACTGCTAATGTAAACGCGCAATGTTCAGGAGCCAAGTTAGGTACCGCAGCAGTAGAGAAGGCAGATCTTGCGATCATGTCAATCCAATAGACCCCACTATCATTTTGTCGAAAAAGTGAGTAGAAGCATTCGGCAACCTCATTGATTTTCAGTATCAGAAATCAAAAAAGCAATTTATAAAGTTCTAGAAATTACAATAATTCTAATACATATCTAAATTCTGTATACCTTATTACTTTTCTTCCACCTCACAATTTCTGACGCGGAAGCGTTAATTTTCAAGGGCAGGAGCTTTTCAGCCCCAAAGATTCTCCAAATGGCATTCCTAATATTTTGTAACACTGAACCACGGTAATTCTTCATTTTTTGTAATAACTAATAAAATATAATAAAGTTAGAACGTGAATAAATAAACTATAATAAATAAAAAAAATAACTAAACTTAAATGATTACAAGAAACAAAAGCGTGAATACTACATACAGAACTAAACTATTCAGCGTAGAAATGGTTTGTAAATTTATTAGAGTTTATGTTCAACATAAACTCAGAGTATATATTGTCCAGGTAGCCCTTCAAAGCTTCCTTGAGAGTACTTTGGGAGGGATATATTTGCTGCGGGAAGAGGCGCTTTATCACGTTTGTATACACATCCTAACAAATATATTTTAAAGTTATTATCTTACTGCTTATAGTTAAGCAAAAACACTTAGAACTTACATCTAGCACTTGAGGTGAAAGGTCATTTTCCTTTTTTCTCCTTTGGTATTTTACTTCGGCCTTGATTTCTCTCACATCATCTTGGATTCCTTTAACTAGTAAATACAAGTACCGGTTTTGAATATAAAGTGGCTCATTTTCAGAATGCTCGTCCTGGCGGCCTTTGTCTTTCTTGCGGGAATGTTCTTCAACAAAAAAAAGAAAAAAAACGTTCAAAAAAAAGAAAAAAAACTTTAAAAAAAAAAAAAAAAAAAATTATAAGGTAGACATCAATATTCAAAGTAAAAAAAAAAACTATATATAAATTTACCATCTTGATTACATAACTGATTCTGATTTGTTGATCGTCTTTCCCATAATCTACCTCTTGATTCGGAATCAGGGTCACGCTGTGGTGATAAGGACCGATCTTGATCATTAGATTGGCTGGAATGTTGAGGTAAGTTAGATTGTTGAGGTAAGTTAGATTGTTAAGGTAAGTTAGATTGTTGAGGTTGGTTAGATTGTTGAGTTTGGTGGGATTGTTGAGTTTGGCGGGATTGTGAAGTTTGGCAGGATTGTGAAGTTTGGCGGAATTGTAAAGGTTGTTTTAAGGTTTGATATAACGCATGTCGAGTTCTCATCTTAGCAAAGATATTATAAACGTTTATAATACTTTTTGATAAATTAGATGAATCATCATCATCATCATAAGTATTATTATAAGTAACCGATATAGAATGGCAATTATGAGGATTATAAGTAAATGATTGAGAATGAGATATATGAGGAGTAATAGATGAAGAATGAGTTGAATGGCGGTTATGAGAATTATAAGTGACCGATTGAGAATGGTATGTATGAGAAAAACAACGAGTTTTAGAAAAGTTGTTATAGTTAGCAATTGTATTAAAGGTAATCGGTTGAGAGAGATATATAGTTGTTATAGGAGTAGAGAGAGAGTGCAGGTAAGTTTGAGTCGTTTGAGTTAGTAGAGTTGTTTGACATTTTAATCAAAAAATTTCAAAAATGTATTTAATGTATTTATCTTTAACCATTAAAAATCTGTTGTATTTATATTTGTATATTTAAAAACTTCGCAAATATGTAATTTAATAAATTTAATAACGGTAATCGTTATTTAAAGAATAAAATATAAAAATAAAAACTTATCTCATTCTTTTGGTTTGTTATCATACTTATAGACTATTGCTGAGATTTACAGATTTTGTCATTATCAAACTGATATTACATCAATATAATTATAATTTAATGTTACTCATTATATCATGCATAATACATGAATACATGCTAGTTTTCGCACATGTTATTGCCTCATGAAAACGTGCAATACACGAAATCACTTAAAGCGATTAAATTCAATTTATATAAATTTTATTGATATAAATCGATTTATATAAATTTTATTATATAAATCGATTTATATAAATTTTATTTTATAATCGATTTAAAAAAGATACTCACGTTATATTCTTCGGACCTTTCTTATTTGATCCTTATAATCGATATATATTTTAATCACACACTTTCGATCTATCTTTTTTTTTCTTTATTTTCTCTCTTATTTTTTTTCTCTTGTTATCTTTTTTTTTGCTTTAAAATGGATTGGCCATGTGATCATTGCAATCGTTCATTTACAAGGCCTCAAGCCTTAACACAATATTATTTACAAAAGCATCCTAACATTTAAAACCATACAAATCCAGAGCTCTCAGATAAACAAGTGGATGGAAATGTTTGGAATTATCCGAAATATAGTTCTGATTATAATTCTTCAGAATATGAGGTAATGGTTAATATTTTTCAGATTAAATCTAATATAGCTAATACATTGCATTTGACACTTGGGCGTAATGAATCATCAGACGTGACAAATGAGAATTAGCTGATATTATCAGCTAATTCTTGTTTGTCACGTCTGATGATTCATCATGCCCAAGTGTCAAATGCAATGTATCAGCTATATCAGATTTAATCTCTTTTTCATATAGTAATAAATATTAAAGAATGATTATATTTCATTTAGAGCGTAAATATGTTAATACCACCCTGTTCTGAAAGTTCTGATGAGCATGTGCATTCTTTGATGGAAATAGAACTTCTTCAAATGGATACTATACCTCTTTTAGTAGAAGACATTGTATCTCAAATTAGGTCTGATGAAAGTGATATTGAAGACTATGATGACGTATCGTTTGATACTTTTTATAATTTAGATACAGTGCCTGATCTTGAAGACTACCAGAGGGCTTCGTTTGAAAATGCTTTTGATGACTTAGATCATCCTCAAAACGTTGAATGGCCTAACAATATCTATCGTGAATTTATAGTGATAGTTAGTAAATATCACTTGTCAAATTCGGCTAGAGATTCTATCATAAGCTTCTTCAACAAGTTTTTCAATTTGGATACTTCATCACTTCCATTATCAACAAAGGCCAAAAAGGAATTTCTTGATAATTCTACTATTCCTTATATAATATTTAAGGAAATTCCTATAACAATGTTTCAAAATATTGAATATAAGTTTTACTATCGATTATTAATAAAGACTATAAAGTCTTTATTAATGATCGATAGTATTAATCAGTCACTGGTCCTTAAATATGAAGATAAAAAAGAAATAAGGAATAATGTAGAATATAGAATATTCAGGGAATAGTACAATAGTAATTGGTGGAGGCGAGAAGAATCGGCACTACTTCTTGGGCAACATGTATTGTCACTTATCCTTTATTCCGATGCGACAACTCTAGACCATATGGAGAAATCTTCCAGGCATCTCTTGTTTTTATCGCTTGGAAACATCCCTAACCATCAAAGAAATAAACCAGAATCCAAGGCATTAATCGGATACCTTTCAATCTTGAAGGCCAAAGATACTAAAACAAAAAACTCGGAAGGTTTTCGAAAGTTGCAAAGAGAAGTATTCTATAAGTGTATGACGATTATTATCAAGCTCATTGCAGAATTACCAGAATTTAATTTTGGTATACGTGAAAACGTAATTATCTTTATTCTTCGAATTTTAATAATTATTGCCGACATGGCTGAAGCTAATAAGTTTGCTAACATTTATCAACTATCATCCTCGAGTCGACCATGTGGAAAATGCTTGGTATCAAAGAATAACTTAAATAAGACTAAATTAATAAGTATAATTCTAAAAACTCTCAATGCTATGAGACAAGCAATAAGTAGTGGAGAAGAACATGATTATTCACTTCATCCTAAAATAAATGCATTTTGGGAGATTGGGTATGTGATTTTACGAAAAGAGACAAATTTGAAAAAAAAATAATATTCATAAAATTAATTTTATGAATATTATTTTTTTTTTCAAATTTGTTCCTTTTCTCTACACCAAGCCCAAATTATTGTACTAAAAATATAATAAATATAAAATTTTTTAGAGAGTTTAATATATATGAAGCTATCATTCCTAATCGAATGTACACATTGGATCTTGGCCTCTTTAAGTATATGCTAGATTATACTAAAGAGCTTCTATTAGACCAGTGTGAAAGCAGAGTGCTTCAAATCTTTGAACAGCGATTAACATTGATTCCTCGATATTCTGGGCTTAAAATAATAAAAAACTTATTAGATATAACATGCATAACAGCTAATGAATTGTGTAACCTAATAAAAATAATAATCTTTGCACTTGATAACCTCTACGAGGATTATCGAAAGCCAGGAATTAGTAATGAACGGTTATGCAAAGTTCATTACCAATTTCTTCGTATGTATATTGCCGCTCATGAGAAATCATTTACTTACGATTCCTGTAACCAGCTTCAGATATAAAACAAGTAGTTACCTTTTTAATAGTCCTAATAACTAACGATTTATCCCATAGGTCTTCATCAATGAATGAGCCAAAAAATTTGTTGAAATATTTTCAAAATATTCTGCAAGTGGTCTTCTACTCCCAAAACTTCATAGTTGGTGCTATCATGTAGTACTTGCAATTCAAAAATATGGGTCAATAAACAGTATGACTATGGAGACTTATGAGACTCTTCATAAGGATTATATAAAAAATCCTTATCGCATGTCAAATAAAAAAGACTATATTAAACAAATTATAAAGACGGTAAGTTATAATTATAAAATGATTGTTATTTATCACTTATAACTAGCGATATTATTTTTGCAATGACATTTATTTTAAAAATAAATAAATATCACTACAGTAAATCTAATAATTATTATTAATAGGTTAAGTGGCAAAAGTTAACTGAGAATGAAGTTCAAAAGAAGTACCGTAAAGCAAAAGTGTTTGGTAAATTTTTGTGGATATTAAGTTTAGAGAGAGTAGATAATTTTCTTGAAAAAAATAAAGATAATATGGACCTATTACACATCAAAGGTTTTCAAAACCTTTTAAATAGTCTCGATAAATTTTTCGAAGAGGAATCAGTCTCGTCACTTCACGAAGATAATCGTATAGAGATATTTTCTTCTGCTTCTTTAGAAAGTACCAACATAATTCATGCTACTTCAAACTTTCATGGAAGTGCAATGTTTTTTAATGTTATAGTTAGTGGTGATAACGAATATGAAAAAATAAGTTGGTATAGCTTGGTATATATCATTTATATTTTAACCTGTTTCATAATAGTAAATATTCAACAATAAAAATAAGTTAATAACGATATTAAGTGAAATAACTCTCGAAGTTAGACAATATTTTTTCATTTACAGCTAACTTCGAGAGTAGTATAACTAACATGAATATTGTCTATCAAGGTGCTATTAATATTCAAGTTTTATCAATCAAATAAAGAGTCACTTGAGTTTGCCCTAGTCCGCTAGTACGATGAAGATGGTGAGTTATGGGGATATTCCAAGTTAAAACTAATCAAGCACTACACTTGTATACTATTGGAGAGTATAGACAGAACTGTGCATATAGTCTCGAGATTTAACAAAATGAATGAATATCTATTGAACAGTTTTATATTCTAATTTAAAGTATATATTTAAAGTCAATATCTAAAGTAATATAAAGTGTATATTAGATTTAAATCAATATCAGATATATAACATTTTAGTTACGTAAAATATTTATCAATTCAAAACGAGTAATCGAAAATTGACGTTTAACTAAATTTGATGATAATCAATAAATATATTTATATCAATTTGTATCTAGTAATCGAACTTTATCGTTTTCTAATATATAACGAGGTTTATCAATTTTTATTGTTAAAATACAAATATTAAATATTGATTAAATGCTATATATCGATTTGTATCTGTTAGTAAAATTTTCTGATGATTAGAGTAGGGTGAAAAAGGGAGTTCTAGGACACTTTTTTGGTACCCTGGGTACTAAAGTATTCATTTTGCTTTTTAGATCGCTCAAGAAGTCTATATTCTATAA